GGAGATGGAACACAACACAATCTGAAACAGTATTTTCTACAGGGTCTGAAAAGAGGCTAAGGCATCACCTACCTTACAAACTGTATCCTGCTATGGGCCCTGCCAGCACCCCAATAGTTTCCTAAGCTATTTAGAGCGTATTTTGGAGCTCCTGAACAGATGTGCCAAAGTTTAGCAACCACGTTACAGATGTGGCACATCTTGAACGCCCAAGATACACCAAGGCAGCATCGTGGTGCAGAAACAACAGGCAAACTTAGATTTCTGCAGATTTCCACATAGCCTGATGGGGCGGGTATAAACCAAGGGGTCACACGAGCACTGGAACAAACACATCCCGCTTTTCTAAGGATGTGTGTCGTGACTGATTGTAACATTTAAGAACACGGCGCTCTTCCCATAGTCGTGTCCTTTCTCCAGCTGTTTCCCTCCCACCTGGGGTCTCTATTAGCATGTGAGGAGGGCTGAGCACATCAGCAGGTTTTCCTGCGGTGGGATCCCACCAAGGCGTCCCTACACTCATTGGTCACCCATTTTGACACTATCTGCAGCCATTTACTAATACTTAAGAATGGTAGTTTTCTCTCAGGGGCGTTTTTAGCCAAACTATGGGTTAACAATATTGCTGGGAAGGAAGAGGAAGGGAGGAGCCAAACAGACACTGAGATCACCCCCCCCTTACTTCCATAGGAAACCAGGGTAAAAACGGCTGCCCCATGAGCAACAGTGGCTGCTCTTTCTTTTAAGTAAGGGCTGCCCAAGAAGTCAGTTTAACCATGAGAATTCAGAAACATAAATATAAGGTGTAACAGTGTGAAGCAGAGCTCCAAGGTAAAAATTCAGGAGCTTCCTCCAGCAGTTAAGCAACCTGTAAAATTTGACTTAAAATGTTGAAGAATTTAACCCAAAATCTTAACCTTATCTCATCTACCAGTACCCACAAAGCGCTATGTCATGCTAAAGCGAGAACAGCAGCAAAGCTGTTTACAGGCTGTGGTAAATAATTTGAGTAGTGCCACAGTGACTGCCACCAGCACACCTAGGAACCTTATTTATCCTCCATGTCTGTCACAAAGCAACGGTATGAGCTTACGCTGGCTGCCTTGATAAGCCTAACACTTCTCTCCCATTTGTAGCCCCTCTAAAAATAGACTGCAGCGTGTTATAAGGTAGTTAGCTAAAAAAAAAAAAAAAAAAAAAAATTAACTTAGTTGCTTATGGGTTGGCAGCCACACATTGTTGTTGTTTATGACACGGCTGCTACCCATGATTAAAAAACAGAAAACCCGCATAAGTAACCAACAAAAACTTTCTGAGTGTCGTTGTAAGGATCTCTGAGCAGCGGGACTCAGAAGTTGTGCACAAAGACGAAAAGGATGAATATAACTGGATTACAACTCTTGCACAGACCGGAGGAGGGCTGAGACGGTGACACCGGGCCCGCATTTATGCTATGACACAAGAGACAAGCAGCAAGAGCAAGAAGCATAAAGGGCTCTCTGGCTTGACACCCTTTCATGCCGTTAGAGGGGGAGGAGGCAAGAATGATTTTTATTTGTGACAAACCAGCGGCCAGCACTTCCATGTGCTGCTGCGGAGAGGGCACCATTCACGCTGGGAAGATGACTCTGACCTCTGCTGGTCCCCTCAGAGAAAACCAGCAGAACCTGCCAGGAGGGAGAGAGGGAGGAGAATCCCCAGGGCAGAGCTAAAACTTCCAATTCACTTCTGCTTCTCACTCACATACAAAGATTTGGTTTCTAGCCCTGAAATCTGCTCCTGAGGCTGCCCGGGTCCTACCACAACCCATGGACCACCCTCCTTCTCCACCACTGCTGGCCCCACCTCACCACTCCTTAGCCTTGGGCCCCTTGAGAACCACCCCACTGGGCAGAGAAAGTGCAAACTGTGCCTTAAAACGTCCAAGGGAGGAAAAGATGAAAGGGCAACGCAGGGTCTGGGCCGCCCGCAGCAGCACAGCATGTCACACCCAATGGGGAGCTCCATGGGCTTGTAAACCATCTTCTCTCCCTTCATGTTTTCAGACTGGAAGGAATACCCAAATTAAAAACTGAGTCATGCGTTTCCATTTCCTCCCCATCACACTGACTCAAGCGGGACCTCAACACTTTACATCACCGCAGTAGAAGTTCCCCACTAAACGCCGAGGGTCCATTCCACCACCAAGAAGAGCTGCGGCCACAAGGGTAGGCAAAATAAGGGACAAACTCAGCAAAACGAGTGGGTGGCCCCTCCAAAAGAGGTCGCCTCAAAAAAACATCATCCGGTCATGCTGAAATGTCTCATTTAAGAAGGGACCCTGCCAATCTCTTTAAGTTTCGAAGTCGCCTTTGAATGCAACACTTTGTCAGAGCATGTGGTCGGCATCCCCAGCTGGAGATGAGTCTTCTCCACCATCTTCCTTAAGAAGCAAACGAGATCAGGAGGATGGCATGACCGCTTCTGCTGCTCCTCAGCAGAACCACGTTGGAGAAACTCGATTAAAAATAGATAATAAAGGAAATGCCGGTAAGCCACACCAAAACAGCCAGGAGAAGGAAAAGGAAGCAATTTCCTTGAGCCAGGTTTTGAGGCCAAGTATATTATTTTTAAATATTAGAAAGCTGCCTTCTAAATGTTGCTGGCAATTATTAGACTCAATATGGGTAAAACATGTGCTCCCTCAGCAGCCAGCTGAAAAGAGGCTGAAACTCGCATTATGTCCCTACCCTACACCCAGCAGACGCCGGAACAAAAAAAAAGCAAGGCCAGAAAGTCAAAATTGTACTAAAGCGTAAGGCAAGGACACCCAGTTTTGCTGCTAGCAGGGGGTTAGCAGTTTGGCGACAACGTGGAGGAAGAGCTTCTCTGCAGAAGGCAGAAATTTAGCCAGGGAGGGAAGCAGAGGAGGACAAGAGTACGCCGCCCTCGGAGGAGACAACACTCAGGAGGAGGAGGAAAGGTCCACTTTGTGTACGGAGGGCTGGGACCGCCTTTATCGAGTCTGGCGGGCAAGACCTCCTCTCCCTATCTACAACAGCAACCAAAAACAAGCCAGCTGTGTTGTCGGAGGGCAAACAGTGCTATCCCCACACAGCTGCTGCTGTGTGCTGGCCAACGGTTGTGCCAGTGTCTTGCACGCCTGCACACGAGGCCGAAATGGGGGTGTGAGCAGAGGGGTGGGCGTCCAGCGGGGGCCACCCCACCACCTGGATGGACACAGGTGCGGGTCCCCCCAGGGTTTGGGGCTGAGGGAGCTGCTCCGGTTCCCCCCGCACCACGGGCAGGCGCCAGCCGTGCCACGACCCCGAGGGACACATACCCCACATCCCCTTGCCAAATGCCAGTGCTCGAGGGCTGGATGTTTTGGCTGGATATATTGGGTGGTGATAAAACGCTCCGGGCAAAGCATCTGCACCCACGCGAAGCCTAGGGACGAAGCGGGCCTGGAATGAAACACGGGTGGATTTTACCACTCCCTCGAGGCTCCCTCAGCTCCCAGACGGGAAGAAACGACGCCCGCAGCCTCCTTGGTCTCCAGAAGTTTATTTTACAGCAGAAAGCAGCTTCTGGGGGCGG